GGGGGACTCTCTCACTGATTGTGAAGTCCAGGTCAGTGATTTGCAGAAACAACTAGAGGACGCCCTGAATGACCGTGACATGCAGGTCAGTGATTTGCAGAAACAACTAGAGGATGCCCTAAAGGACCGTCACATGGAAGTCAGTGATTTGACTCAACGTTTGACTTTCGAGAAGTCTATTCTATCCGATTTGTCTTCATATTTACTTCTTTTGTTTAACAATTTGAAGAGTTCTTTTTCTGAGGAATTTGAGATTTCTCCATTTAAAGGAACCTCTTTTGATTACTTTTCGTCTTCACCCTCATTAAAACAACTGGCCGATCACTATCCTAATCTACTTGAAACACTTTCTTTACTCGCTTCAGAGTCTATGCAGGCAGCTGTCGCTATCCAAAAAGTGAAGCTTGTTCTTCAGAACCACAATGCTTTTGAACTTAAGGAAGGTCATCAACTCCAGGAATGCAGTTTCCCAACGAACGATTCTAATAATCTTAGTTGTGATGGTATAGTACGAACTTACGATGATATGATTGCTGGTGTGACAGAAAAAATATCTGCGTTAATGAGAGAACAAATGCGCTACTCACTTTCTTTAAGAGATTTGAAGAGTGTGATTCAGGGTGACTCGACGTCCTTGATCGATCCTCCATCCTATTCAAAGCAAGAGTCGGCCCTCTCCCCGACCTTCCGTAACGAATCCTCGACTTCGGCATTGGGTTTTCCAGAATTCGAGAGCCGTTTCCGAGCGATGGAAATGGAGAGTACTTTAAATGATAGTTTTCATAGCTCCATCAAGTCTTATGTTGAACCTATTGTGCAGGAGGTACGAAACCACATCGAGAAGCGGTCGGAAGAAATGGTACAGATGAGGAAAGCCGTGATAACAAGCTTTGAAGCTCTTGGTGGCACAGATGATATTCGCTCAGTAGATGCGATCAAGGCGTCTAATTATTTGGTAGATATAGCCGTTGACACTGGCTCTTGCATCACTGAAATGAAATTGATTCTAGACCCCACAGGAGAAAATAGTGGTAAAGTCCGACTCTCCAGCATTTTAAGTAACATTAAGACGAAACTAGGCGAAGTAGAAGATGCGAAGAAAGATGCAGGTGATCTTCTCTATGCTTTGGCTGGCCCTAACAAAAGCATATCAGAAATGAGTTTATTTAGTTCTGTATATAATCACCGTTTATTAAAGAAAAAGAAGCCGGCGAGACCAGAATTCGTGCGCGAAGATCCTCTCTACATGGCTCGTGTTATCTATGATAAGCAGCTTATTAATGAAGACTCGGAAAAGTCAGAGTTTCTACACCTTAGTTCCTATGAGCTTAACTACGAAAATGTCAAAGTCTTCAGGAAAGCGATCGAGGAAAGAAAGCTTCAGTTTCAGCAAATGTCCCACGGCATCACCGTGGCACTCTCTCTTATGGGTGATACTGCAGACCTTTCAAAGGTGGACACCAACACCCTTGTACTGCGGCTAATACAGACCGCCAAGGATGTGCATGATGCCATAGTGTTAGGTCAAAACACAATCGCAGAGGAGTGGATCGCGAAGCGGAATAGCATAACCGTCTCCAACTCTGAGGTTTCCACTCACAACAACTCAACTAAAATATCAGGAGAGTCCATCATGCACGAGGATGGGGAAAAGGAGTGTGGCGGTGATAAAATATCCACCTCGAGGCTTGACGATATGCCTTTTTTGGCTAAACTGACAGCTGATCTAGTGCATGCGCTTCGGTCTATGCATGACAACTACGAAGCAATGAAACAGGAAAATGAGTGCATGTCAAAAAAACTGCAATTCCTCCTTGATGATGACAAGACTGAAGTTCTCGAGGACCATCTCGAACGCGCGTGTGCACACATAGCCTCCTTGGACACGAAACAACATGCCCTTTCAGAAGAATTGGTGAACAGCAAAGCGCATTTGCAGAAGAGTGAGCAGCTAGTAGAATCCCTCCGCGGAGAGCTAGGCACACTTCAAAACCAACTTACTCATACACAACAGAACATTATCTTCATGGAGGAAAACTGTGTGAGGCTCAGAATGATATTAAGTGAGAACATAGCATTCGCCACGATAATCAGCGATCATACAAAAGAGTTTGAAGAGCTCAGTACCTCAAGGATTCGTTCTGGATCACTACACGCAACTCAAGTTCTCATGAGCGAGTGCACACTCCTTCAAAGTCTGCTTGTGGATAATCATACTGAACCAGTCAATGAGGACAAAGTGAGTGATGAAAATGAGGATATTCTATTGTCATCGATTCAACGGTGTTCCAAATACGTGCGATCCTCCGTTGGGCTTCTTGGTGCCGAACAGAATTTACACCTCGATACAGAAGACAAGCTACAGGATACCCAACGACGCCTTGAGCTTGCCATGGCAGAGGAATCCCGCCTTGAGGAACTTCTAAAAGAACTCCGCCAGCGACTCGAGGCAGAAAAAGAAAATGCAATCCAACAAATGCGAGCCCAGCTTCAGGGGCAACAACGGGAAGCCGAAAAACGCCTGCAGTACGCTCAGAACGTTTCGGAAGAGACCCAGAAAAACCTGAAGGAACGTATTAAAAGTCTCAAAGGCAAGGTGAGGGATGAGGAACAATTACGTAAAATCGCAGAGACAACGACCATCGACCTTCTCGAGCAACTAAACGCTAAAGCGGAGGAAACTGTGGAGCTGAAAGCCCATCTCGAGGACGCCGAAAAGCGTCGCCGTGAGGCAGAAAGTTCTTTAGCCGTTCTGGAGGAGATTAATACGATGATGCAGGTATCGGCGACTGAAAGAAATACCTTTTACGATTGCCGATATACCGAATTATTGGAGAAGCTGGTGGTGACAGAACAAGAGATTGCCTCTCTACGGACTGCCCTTAACGCGGCGTTTACCGAGCGAGCGTCTGTGGATGCTTTACGAACTCAAGACGAGATAAAGTTAGAGGAGTTAAGAAATGTTGTGGAAAGAGCAAAAAAAAGGCTTCTACATTGCCTTATGTCACCCAACGTGTCCCTGGCAAACACCTTGATTGAGGTCGTGGACGTGTTTCTAAAGGAGTTCGTGAAAGTAAATGAAAAGGCTTCACGTAAAGATATTATTTATTATTCAGTCGGCACAATCACGGAAAGTGATATAGTGAATATGGCTAAAGGATTTTCTACCGTGTTAAGGGTATTTCAAAAACTCGATTTACTCCCACTTGAAGATGTGATAATTCCTGAAGATCAGGCAGACGCGATCGCGGAGTATATCAATTGGAGCGTGGAGCGCACATCCGAGCTAAATAATGGGAAAGCACTACTTATAAACAGCATGCAATTCTGTCAATTAGGGTACTCTACTGTACAGTTTTCCACACCCCTTGGGGTTCTTGTTCAGTCAATCCTGGATCAAAAGGATGAAGCAGTACAGCAGTGCGTTGAGTTGAGGGAACATTACAACGCAATCTGCGATGAGATCGAACAACTACGTGAAATGATGAAACTGAATAATGACCATAATCGTGATGTGGAGGAACTGGAGCATTCCATCGGACGGATGCGTGAGATCGTACAGAGGAAACAAAACGCGGACGAAATTGTGGAAAGGCATACTAGCGAGATGCAGTTACTGATAGACACCCGTTTTGCAAGCCTTTCTCGCTATGCGGTAGAGCGAGAAAATGTTGTTAACCATATACAGCAACTTCATCACTTTCTGAGGCATAGATTGCGTGAACAAAGTCAGAGCAAAAATATAGACTAAGAATTATCCTATTAGATGTAATGGTAGTGGTTTTTCTGATTAAACGAGACTATTTCCATCAAACCATTATTCATGTTTACCTTGGAGTCCGTTCTTTTGATGTATGACTTTGTTAGCTATGGGTGCCTGAGCTAGGGGGGAAAAATGCGACATATTTTTTCCCTAAGGCAGTCAATTTTGAAAAATCTGACAAATCCCACTACGTACAGTAAAGCCAATGTGTCAGGATATGTCGCTCAGGACTACGTTCGTTCCCTAAGGGAGGGGCTGTAGCTATAGTCGCGACGCCGAAAGTGAAGAAACCCACTTTATCGTGCAATCCCTCGTTGACGTTGGCGCCAAATGCAACGGAAAATAAAGAGAAAGCCACATACACCAAATCCTTGGGAATCTGGAAACCCGCCGACAGGTTGAGAAAAACCGGAAACAGGAATGGAATGTACATTCATGGAGTGTTTGATCTGTTTAGAATATCATTATATTAACTCAGCATTTCACATCATATTATATTACTGTAATCTATTATTTGGAAATATTAGCTAACATTACACCTTGGCTTTGAAGATAGGGTACATATAATATATATTTATATAGGTATAAATATATATATATATATATGTGTGTGTGTGTATTAGCGTATGTAATGCTAAATTTTGGCTTAGCATAAGTCTAACTCAATAATAATAATACAGTTCAGCATTTTCCTTCTTCCCTCCCTCTTTCCCGTCATTTGTTCATAAATGGTTGCTTTCATATGTTAAGTAAGCTATAAGAAAATTGATATCTGATAATTTTAAATATTAAATAACGAAAGAATCGCCATGCAACTAAACTCAACTCAGCTCGGGGCGATAGACGAGAAGACTTTACGGAGAGCCTTTGCTGAAAAACCATTACATAAAGTCAAGCACTTCACCACAGCTACCGCAGCAGCGGATTGTACGTCGGCGGCCGTCGTTGCCTTTAGCGCCGCAATTCCAATATCGATCATCGACTATAGCATCATGGCTCGTGTTTCCGGGACAACGGACAGCAGTTTGAAGGAATTCTTTAAAGGCATCCGAACGCTTTTTCTTCGCCCACACAAATTTTTTCTACCTACAAAGGAAAATAAATGCTGTATTGTTTTTTGGGCTTGTACAACAACCTATTTGTTTACCTACATTGGCTCGAACTTGGCCAAGAGCTACTGTGAGCCTCATGGAACAGTCAACGAAGCAAACCTCGCGGCTGGAATTGTCAGCGGTGCTGTGAATACCCTCTTTACCATGTGGAAAGACGGCGTCATTTTGAGGCAACTCCCTCCAAAGAATACGACGAATTCCTTGACAAATTCGGGACGAATCCCATACATCACACGAGGGCTCTTTTGCACCCGTGATTTTCTGACATGTGCAGCCGCCTTCACCCTGGCCCCCATGCTGGCAGATTGGATCACGCGCTATACCTATTATCACAAAAGAATTGAGGGACTTCCAAAAGATGCAAAGCTACCTGAGGATGAGGGCAAAGTTCGCCTGCCAATGTCCATCTCAAACACGGCGCAGATAGCTACGCCCGCAGCACTTCAATTTGTCACGACTTTATTGCATATTACGGCGATTCGATACAGACAAACATATCCTAACTTTGATTTGAAAGATCTTACGCAGAGTCTTAGGGCAACGTATTTGTCCTCCACGTTGATGCGCATTTGTCGTATAATCCCAGCATTTGGGATTGGTGGCATTTTAAACCAGAAAATACGCACCAATCTGTTGGATAAAGCTGAGTAGAACGAGATTAGCATTTGGGCTAAATTGAAATATTATTATCTTCCCTTTTTATATTCTTTATCCAGTTATTAGAAAAACTGGTAAACGACACCTTAACTAAGCGAAATAATAAAATCGAAGAATCGTGGAATAAAACTTGGATTCCTTATACGTTAACAATCATACAGGTGAACTTTATTATTATTATTATGTTCTGAGCCTATTACACGTAATTATTGATTTAGAAAAAAATCTGAAAAATGGAACCTTTAAAAAAAAAGAAGCGACATGCGCCTCAGTTCTATGGTGATTGGTACCCTTTTACTCTGAAATGGAATCCAATTAGATACTCATGTCTTCTCGATCTGTTGTAGCGTTAATTATTTAGTGTACACGATGTCTTGCCACACCATGAACTTCCCCGCTTATGATGTGGACGATGATTGGGGAACGCGGTGGTGGGATGGGGATATGACGGGCGTGCTGCTGCGGACCCCCACCAAACCCCCGAATTCACCACTGTTTGAGTGTCTTCGCCTGGAGCCCACCTCCTCCCCGACGTTTCTCCACTCCCCGAGCCTCTCTATCGCCTCGGAAGAGTCTATGGACTCTATCCTCGCCCTGCCCCCGGCGGGATCGGGCCCGGACCCCCCCCCGATCTCCCCTTGTTTGCCGGACGAACTGGAAATGCGGCAGCTCATCTACAAACTTTGCCGGTCGCTATACAAAAAAGCCATCCAGAAGATCGGTAAGGGAAAGGGAAAGCCCTCCAGCGCGGTCCCGGTGGATGCGAAATACGAAACGAACATGTCCCACATGTCAGATTGGATGCCTCTGCTCCATTTATTTGAGCCGAATCGGTATTATGAAATGTTAGAAAAGCCCTATTTATCCCTCGTCGCGATGGAGTTCCAGGCCTCGCGGTGCCCCAATCACACCTCGGCGAAATCCCCAACGGAGGCCCTACAGCTTTTTATGGGGGAATTATTCGTGGAGAAGCTTTCAGGGGGAAATAGCAATCACGTCTACCGTCTAGGCCATCCTCATTACCCCGACAAAAGCATTTTGGTGCGTTTGTACGGCAACGTCAGCGGCGAGGTGATCGACCGCTATCGCGATGTGATGGCCGCCAAACAAATGAGTGATGCGAAGATGAGTCCGGTCGTACTGCACTACTTTAAATGGGGTCGTGTGGAGGAGTTTATGGACGACGTCGCGACCGGCTCCACAGATTTGCTTTTCGAAAGCCAAACACTTCTTTCCGAGGTGTTTATGAAACTCTCCGTGATGCACAAACTACCGATCGAACCATTTTTACCAGAAAACGCGAATATCGCGTGGTTTGCAAAAAACGGTCAGCCCAAATGTCTACAATATCAACATTACAATGGATTTGAGGACTACTTCTCAAAAAATGTGCCCATCATATCCAAGAAGCTTCTCGGATCGCAATGCCATAAATACTACGAAAGTGATGTGGAATATAAACTATTGGAAGATGTATGCCCGTCCTCGTTTGAACGCGCGAGTCTGCGGTATCTACGCCTTATCAGTGTTCACATTAAAGATCACTACCGCGACAACTTTGTGAAGTTTATTTGCCATGAAATCATCTGGATACGTCAAGTTTTCCTGGAAAGGTCGATTCCGCTCACCTTCTCACACAACGACCTCAACCCCTGGAATATTCTGATTTCTTGGAAAAAAGTGACCGCCAAATTCAGAAAGCCTAATATCGACCTTAGCGAAGATGACGAAGTGACTTCAGTCATCTCGAGCCAAAGCAGTTTACTGAGTAGGAAGTTTTTAACGAAAAAAGGCCACCACAAGAACCTGGTTGACCTCAAGGGTCTAGTCTTTATCGATTTTGAGTACTCCGATGTCAACTACCGATGCTACGATCTTGGTAACACGATTTGTGAACTGGACTATGACTATACCCGCGGAATGGAGAATGGCGGGCCGGGCTTCATCAAGTACCTACATACCTTTCCCCCTCCCACGTACAAATTGAGATGGAAGGATCGGCCGATGGAATACCCACGAATGCCGGAGCTTATTTTGCAAACCTGGCAGCACTTTTCTGACGGCAAGGAAACGTCCGAATTCATAAATGGCGAGCCCTACCTCAACGCAATCGCCGCCTACTATCACCACCAAAACCCCGAAGTTGGTGCAATGCAGGTATCGCTTGAACATATTGTGGAAGTTTTCCTTGGAATGCTGGCTGCGCATCTTAACTGGTCCTTGTGGTCTTTTGTTATGGCTTGCAATTCGGACAGCTTAACCAACAACGTCGATGATGGTCTCTTTTCAAAGGGAAGTAGTGGGTTGGATTACTTAAGGTATGGAAACTGTCGGCTGAAAGAGTACTTTGCACTAAAGTCCTGGCTGAGAGAGCATGACTTTCTGTGAAAAAATACATATAATATTATTTCACTAATTGTTTTATAAAATGAAACAGAAATCGTTAGATATCGGTTTCACTATTACATTTATCTTTTACGAAATTACAGATCTAAATAAAATAGTTACTTAAACCACTACAGACATATCTTGTAGAGGAGGAAGAGGAAAAGGGAACGTCATACTTATAGAATTCCTCAACTAACTAAAGCGGAATATCCCTATTCAATTTTCCCTATTTTCCTCTTTGTTAAATGCTTTATAATATTGAGCTATACACACACCAAATATTCCGCTTTTTATAATCATTGTATTGGATACATTGTTTTATAATGCTAATTTTGACGTATTTGGGATGTACTGGTTCATCTAGGCCCTAATTGGGAAATATTGTTAGACATAAGTCTTTGCTGTGCACGACGGCCTGCTATATGCTCGCGACTCTGGAGATAACTTTCCTAAGAAAGAAAAGGAGTCACGTCGATGTATGTGAAAGCACCATATCCCTTAGCCATGCTGTATGCGAATATCATACACAGGTGCCTTGTGTAAAGGAGAAAAGTCGAAATCTGCGTGAGCAATTTATACCTTTTACCAATACATTTAACCCGTTGGGGTAAGCGGTATCGGTTTAGGAAAAATTTCACTGTGATCCGTCCTGTATCTCAAGTGGTATATCATTTATTTATTTGTTTATTTATTTATTTATTTTAGGTTTTTACATTTTTGTATGCTTTGCTTGATTTGGTTGTTGTTGTTTTTGTTGTTGTTTTGATTTTTACCCATGGAAGTGTTTCATTTGATTTAGTCTCTTTTCAAATCTGAGGAGTAATAACCCTTACATTGGGCTCGACTAAAATGGACAGTATTCTAACTAATATGGGCTCATAATTCTAAGCTGATGGTTAAAACAGAGTCCTCATTATGCGTTCAGTTGTAAGTAGACTGCTTTGGGTGTGAAATGCTTTTCAAGACGCCAAATTCTAACAATCACCATCACATCGTTATACATTCTTGACAAGAAAATAACAATAATAAAAAAGACCCGATGCCTGAATTTTCCAAGGACTATAACATATTAATTGGCATATTACAATCGGAGAGTGCTACCTTGGCATCCATTCTAGAATGTGGCGGTCGCTCAAAAGTGTATTCCACACACATCTTTGTGCGTCGAGCGGCCCGTCTGGTGGCACAGATTGGTCGAAAACTCGCCCCATCCCTGCAGCGAAAACGCCTTCCCGGCAATAACCCGGACGCAGGCCGAACGGCCGCACTGCATCGAGCCCACCAATCCTGCAGGCTGACGGCTGAAGCAGCCACAAATGAATTAGCGGCTGGTCGAATCGACACAATCCCACTCGCCATCGCATTGCTAAGCGGCGCCGCACGGCTGGGGTGTACATTAGGTTGCGTATTGCGCTTAACACAGGGTCGGGACCATTGTGTTTCCCATTGGGGCGCTGACTATGTGAATCGATTAGAAAATTTGATGCGGACGCCATCAGGAAGAAAGCAACCTCGGGATAAGGCAAAAACGGATAATGGCGTTGGAAGCTCGAAGAAATCAAGACTAGAAAACAGCAATCCAACCTTTGGAAATGTTGTCGATGCCCTTATCTAGGCTTGATAATTGCATCTGTCTTAGACAAACAAAAATGGTAACGAAATTACACAGATATTTCCATGTTTTTATGGATATGCGTCATCGATACGACCCCGGGCCCCTTAAAACGTTCATAATGTTTAGTCACATAAATATTTATGTCCATACAATGCGTTAACATTCAGATATCATTAGATCATGGTCCCAGGAATTACAGAAACACAACAAGTATAGTTTTATTATTATTATTATTACCCTTGTCTGTTTTTTTTTGTCAAATCCATCAAGATTGCATTTGAAAATAAGTCTCATATTAGCCTCTACACTTCCTCACAAGATTTAAATGTTGTAGTGCATGTAAATGCCATAAAATTCCTATCATTACATATCCAGGTGAATATTATTCCACTCTTTGCTCGACTCAATAATCGGTATAAGTCCGAAACAAACAAAAAAAAGGGGGAATACACTTAGCAGCCCCTTGTTGTTCAGCCAAAGTGATGCCAAAAAGTTGTAGTGCGCGACTGAGCCGCTTGAGTGAGAGTACACAACTAGGGAGCCCTGTGGGGTATCCTAATAGCTTATTGGGCTGGATTTGAACTCACACAGCCCATTTTTGTAGAG